CCCCGCTTTGACGTCGTTTCGGGTAGGATTAGAACTAATTCTACCTGACATGACGTAAAAGCGGGTAGGATTAGAAAAAATGAATATAATGAGGTGTATTAGTTATTAATTGCCCTGCGAGAACAAAGGGAATACCTGCAATCATGATATTATATACTGTATACACTAGATAGTGCATCTAATTATTTTGCAATTCAAAAATTGAAGCCGTGATTGCAGACTCAGGATATTCCCATGAAATGAGAAGATCCGTATATTTTCTATTTCTTAAACAGGGAACTTAAACATTAAGTTAAACCTATTCCAAATACATTTAAACTATTCAAATGATGAAAGTTATTGTTGTTTTTTAAGCGTTTAATAGCGAGTGGGAACTATCAACATGGCCGCCATCTATTCACATGGGGGTAACCCACAAGTAGTTTCGTGTAATTCTACCACCACTAAATGTCACTCTTCTTAACATTTCATTGATACAACAAAATCACAATGCGTAGTATATATATATATATATATATATATATATATATATATATATATATATATATATATATATATATATATATATATATATATATATATATATATATATATATATATATATATATATATTATTCATTCAAATATCGCATAAAATATAATTTGTATCGCATAAATTCTAATTTGTAAGGCTAACGGGCACAAACTTCTTTCACAAATTGACTTCATGTTATTGTGTAGACAGATAATATATAGACATTGATAATGGTCGTATGTTTGAGAACCTTTACGTTGTTACGTTGTTCCCTGATTGTACCCTTGACCAAAAGGCGTCTTCTATCTTCAGCGTAAGGCTTTCTACGCCAACTTAGACTGCATTTCTCTTCTTCAAGACCCTCCATGTCACAAATATTTTACTGAATCTAACGACTTTGAAGTATCTATTGTTTTTATCTTAGAGAATTGCATAGAAGTACATTTCATGCTTGTTTACGCAAAACTGCATTCAGTCATGTTTTCTCTTTTGTTTTCGTGATTCTCGTGCCTAATTCACATGTTTCTTCCTGGGTTTCGCATTTGTTCTTATTATGCTGTATATAACATGCAAACCTCAATAGAAATACACTTGTGTTATTGCATCATTTTCGATGATCAGTTTTATGTGTTTTCCCTTATTCGGCAACATGGTGGTAGCCATCGTAAACCCTTTGTATCGAATCCTACAAATCGGATCGTGTGAACATCTTATCGATCGTTAAAGTGACGTTCCGACAGTCTGATCTGTTGGGATAGAAATAGAATAGGCTTTTTGCAGTTAACGAAAAATAGTTGAGAACATAAGTAACCAACATTGTTCTTGCCCTCCAAATACTGTTATGCAAACTAAGGTTTTTAGGTTAGCTACAAAATTTTGCCTGGTTTCCATATGGTCGTAATGGTCGTAAAGATTGAGTCACGATCTTTCTCATCAGCCGAAATACAACATTTTAGAACTAAAAATACGCGGAGTGATTATAACTAGAGAATACTTATGATTTATATGTGGTTTACAGGTATAAACTATTATAAACTGGCCGTTGAGAAAGATCGTGACTCTATTTTTACGACCATATAGAAACCAGGCTGAAGGGCCTATTGCTCTGTTTCCATCTGACTGAAAGAAGCCGTCTATCCCCAATACTCTCACTAGAATCTCGCATAAACGTGCCATTAAACAGATCCAACAACGTTGGCTTAATACTTGCAAATGTCTTTGATCATAATGTTTGTGATGTTACTCTGAGTGTGCATCCACACCGGGCAAGCTGAAAAGTTTGCCTGACCACGGTGGCTTGCCCGGTGTGGATGCACACGCAGAGTAACATCACAAACATGTTCACCTGAGTACGTAACACCAACACACACAAAAATCGTCTTTGATCATATTGTACGATTTATTCAAATTGGAAATCTGTTCTTTAATCTGTTCTATCTATTTGTGAAATAGGCAGGGAAGAACATCATTTAAATATATTGGATGATGTTGGGCTAACCATGTTGGCACTGTTTTAACCAAATCTTAAAAATTACTATATTGATATTAATATGTTGTTCTACCTATAGGGAATGCAAGGAGATCCTGGCGAACCAGGAATATCTGTTGATGGTACAGTTGGGCCACCAGGACCACCTGGACTGGCAGGAGATGCTGGTTTGCCTGGGGAGAAGGTAACTAAAGAAAGTTTTACCAATCGTTCAACTGATATTCGGTGATTCGCTGTGCCTTGAAGAAAAGGGAACCTAAAGGCCTGACTCCACAACGGCGAAATTCTTCGCGCGAAGTTGTGTCTGCGAAATATGGATGGTTGCACATGATGGTTACACATTCCTACTTTTTCGCATTCCCAGTGAGTAGAACTGACTTCTACTACTTCAGTGAGTAGAACTGACTTCTACTACTTCAGTGAGTAGAACTGATTTCTATACTCACTGGGGAAGCGAAAGCCTAATTTATCTTTACTGCGCATGCACGAATTCGCTGAGGTAAAGTGCTCGTGGAATCAGACCTTAATAAAGACTACTGTCAGTGCTATTATGCATGCTGAATTCCGTCTTTTTGAACACACTATATTGTTAACACGCATGCTCTTTAACTCATTAGCGGTTTGGAGAAAGCGACATGTCTTTGCACAAAAAGAATTATTTCTTTTGTTTATTAAAAGTTTATTAAAACATAATGGTGTCTTTCGCGTCATCATATTTCAACGTGACGATTCTTGAAGAAATTTATTTTAAGGCGGTATTTAGTCATAAAAAATGGACGTTATGTACTGTTAATAAATCTGTAAATACTCACGAGAATATTTTCCTTCAATTTGTAAAGGGAGAAAAGGGCGCACCAGGTCCAACGGGACCGAAAGGAATTGGAATTCGGGTTTGTTTTATTTTCTCTTTAAATACTGTAGTGTACTGCACTATACTGTATTGTGCTGTGTCATACTTGTACTGTATTGCTGTATTGCACTTTGTCATACTAGTGTGCTGTGTAAATTGTAAAATGTGATAGTGTATGTATGTGCATTTGATTCTGTAGGGTGAAAATGGAACGGTTGGTGTAGCTGGTACAGAACCTGGTAAACCTGGAAACAAAGTGAGTTTAAAGAAACTTCCTCTGAACTATGAGGACCAGGGTGTTAGCCAGGCGGCCGTCCGACCGTCCTATGGACGGCCACTTCTGAATTTGGGAATATTTTCTTTAAATAGCAACCTACAAGCTTTGTAATATTTCTTGAGTACTTCGCGCCATATTTTTGTAAAACGCGCCATGTTTTTGTAACCATTTTGATGATTCTCGCATGAAGTATCAAGGAGAATAATGTGAAACCGTTAGTGTTTTAGAAACAGCGATCGCTTTATCGCTCGAGCGCCACGTTACAGTTACGGTAGTGATCATACCATACGTGTGCTTTTATTAATTTAATGACGAAAATGTGCATCTGAAACTAAAAGTTGAAAGGTTCAACCTCTAGGTCTATTAACTGTGGTTCAACGAATAAAACACCACAATTCCTCAACAACAGAAAATTGTGGCCACACCCAAAAACATGTAACCACGCCCACAAAAATATGTTGCCACGCCCACAAAATTATTTTGGACGGCCACTTTTGAAATCCTGGCTAACACCCTGATGAGGACATTGACAGTGGTTGCATGCCTCACCCCTCACCCTTCTAACCCCTCCTACCCGGAGGCACCTAACCCATCTAACCCCTCACCCTGATGATGGGGTGGAACGAAAAACTTCCCACCACGGCGCGACCTACCTCCCTTCCAAGGCGATTACTTAAATAGATTAAAGTGGTATCTTGTTCATATACCATGTCAGGTTTTACGTACTTTTTATTAATTTTACCACAGGGTGTAAAGGGTGATATCGGAAGAGCTGGAGTCAATGCTGTGCAAGGAGAAAAGGTACGAAGACAATAAGTAATCTGTAATTTGGATTGAACTGGACTACTGGAGCATATTTATATTTCTTCCTCCAATGCAACAATGTTTTCATACTTTATAAAAAGATGTTTGCGGTATTTATATTGGAGAGTAAGTAACATTGTACACGCATAACCTCGATTTAATTATCTTTGAAAATCGAAGTTTAAACATCTTAAGATCAGAAGAAATACATTAATAAATCAAGATGACAAGATCAGAAATACAGAAACTAAATAAGATCAGAAACACATTAAGGAATCGAGATCAGAAATACAGAAACTGAATAAGATCAGAAACACATTAAGGAATCAAGATCAGAAATACAGAAACTGAATAAGATCAGAAATACATTAAGGAATCAAGTCAAGGCCATGAATGTTTATATATCTATAACTTTAGGATGTGAATGACTATTTTCTTACCTTCTTTTATCAATTCTTTACTAGGGAGAAAAAGGAAAAGTTGGTTTGCCTGGACAAGGCGTTAAGGTGCTAAATATCTCGAACTCGTTAATAATGCACGAGAATATTAGCCAATCACATTGCTATTCTCATATGATGATACTGAATACCTAGTGAATTATATTGATCCGCTCCTAGGAGTAGATCAAGATTAATTCAGTCCTATGAAATATTACATAATATCACGTTTTGTGTCATTGTTTGATTATTATTGATGGTCAATATAAGTTTGCAATAGACTAGCTCTAAGGCTCTCTTTCTTTGAGAGAAATTTGGAAAAAGCCCAATATTGTAGTCGATGTTAAGTTTTTTATGTGTTAGTAGTTTTCATAGATTTATTTGGTTGTGTCAAGTATACTTAATGTTATTTAATGTTTTTTGGCATATGTAGGGAGACAGTGGAGCCGTGGGCCCACCAGGTGCAGTTGGCGTACGTGGTCCACCGGTAATTTGAGGTTTATTGTTAGCAGATATTTGAAATAATAGTTACCACACGCGTACGAAAGGGAATTTAAATAAATCACGCGTTGTCTCGTTAGATGGCAACAGACTATTTTATGCAGTATCTATGCAGTCATTATAGAAATACAGTCGATACCAAATTAGCAAATACTTTAATAACATGCACTAATTACGAATAAACAAAAAACGGTGGTTCAAATTTGGTAATTAATAAATGTTCACGTTTATTAAGATTTCCGGCTCGATAAATCTAACAGTTGAAGGTTTTTGTAGATGGAAATTTCGAACGGAAGATTTATAAGTAAAATTTTGGACCTAACGAGGAGCGAGGAGCCTACAGGTGTCACAGACCACACAACTAATTGCAAGGTCTGTGACACAGGCTAGGAGCGAGCAGTTGTGAAACTGGAACTATAGGCACTCTGACAGGAATCGAACCTGCGGCCCTGCGATTCCGCTCTAAACTGCAGAGTCCAGGTGTGGAGTATTAACCACATGTATATACAGGGTGTCCCAAAAAAACAAAACTAGTATTGAAATAACGTATTGTGAGAAAAAGATACGTATTGAGAAATTAAAGTATCTCTGTAAAGTGCACGATTTTCTGCTCTTGGGAATTTAAAGCAGCTTCTTAAACAGTTTCTTTATGCATAAAATTTACTTATGTGGCAAGCTTTTATGCACTTGTGGGTTCAGAGAGTGCTGAGGCATTCAAATTCTAACATTACGTTATTTCAATAGTTTCGGGGTTTTTTGGGACACCCTGTATACAAGAACTTGTGGTTAATGCTCATTGGTTAAAGCGTTGCATGCCAGAAGGCCTAAAGTTGCATTTTTCGCAGCTGCTCCTGGTTAGGTATAAAATTTTACTTATAAATCCTCCGCTCAAAATTTCCATCTCCACAAACCCCTAACACGTTTGTCTTTATTACAATCGATTAGCATATCGCCAACCACTTTCAAACCGACGTACATGCATAGATTAGGAAATGAATAGATGGCTCACTCCTTTGATGTTTTTAACGCTGCCGGCACCCACGCATGTTCTTGCCAGAGTAATGGCGGCCTAGCAAGTTACTGTAGTAAAATGCATTGTGAAATTGACATCGGTGCTACTAAATCCTGTATTTTTATAATTCTGATTTATTTTCCCATTAAACCTCCCGAAAGCGGAAAAATACAGGATTTAGTAGCACGGATGTCAATTTCACAATACATTTTATTATAGTTCTTGCTAGTCTTGCTATATAGGCCGCCATTACTCTGGCAAGAACATGCGTGGGTGCCGGCGGCATCAAAAATATCAAAGAGTGAGCCATCTATTCATTTCCTAATCTATGGTACATGCATGTACATACTTTGCTTTGTCATCCTCCTTTGAATGGTTGCCTATTTATCCAATAATCTTTTGCATACAATAGGGTCCAACAGTGGATGGTCCCCAAGGCCTAGCGGTAAGATATTAAAAAAAAATTAAATTGTTTGATCTGATGTTATAATACAATTGCAATAGAATATTATAAATGATGCTGTACCAATAAATATTGGCGAATATCTAACATCTTTGATTCTTTGTTATTAAGGGTAATCGTGGTCCTAAGGTGAGTCATGAATTGTTGATGTTTTACCAAATATTATACTTGATCTTGCACGAATCACATTGTTTCTCTAGATTTTAGACAATATTATAACATTTTATTTTTTTAAATTTTAGGGTGTCATAGGATCTCAGGTTTGTAAGACAACCATATATATTTGTTGATGGATAACCTAAATTTTACTTATTACCCTTGTTACCCTGATTTATAGCTTGGAATCTATTTTTACATCTTGACTTAGTAAGTGCTTAAAAAGTGTGGTAATAGGTTAATTTTTTCTGTTTAAGGGTCCACCTGGTCCTCCAGGCCGTGCTGGAATACAAGCTGTTTCGGTAAGTTTGACGCCAAGCTATGTGTGCCCTAGCCCTTGGCTGATCATCGAGCACAGTTAAGGTAGTCATGTAGCACAATTAAGGTGGGAAAGTAGTTTTGGATGAGAAAGGAAAACCAACAGAACCAACCAAACTGCTACTTACATGAGATTTCACATCACATCAGTGAGAGTAGGGTAGTCACCAATCTAAGTAATAACACCCACCCATGCACTCCCACGGTGAGGTACCTTACAGACAGTAAGCCTTTAAACTGTACTCGATGTTAGCACCCATATATTTACCTTTACGCTTTACTCTTGTGCCTGCATAGATTTCGACAACTGGACTCTGTAGCTCAGTTTGTTAGAGCGCTGCACCGGAATCGCAGGACCGCAGGTTCAATTCCTGACATAGGGCTATACGGCCTAGCTATATAGTTGTATTTTACACAATTGCTCCTGGTTAGTGTAATAAATGTATAAAAATCACACTCGAAATTCCCATCCACAAATCCAGGTTTTCAGTACTGGATTTCAATTATCTGTCCTCCATCTAGTTATGCAATTGTACTATATGTGTATTTTAGTTGACAGATAGAATATCTTTTGAATTTTCAGTTCAATGGTACAACTATAATTATCCGTCACAATGCAACATATTCTGAGTACATCCCTATTGACACGGTGAGAACTTTCTTGTTTGTTTTGCCAGTTTTGCAGTAGAGTTGATCATGATCTTTTTGCTTTTACCATCAACAGAATTCGAACATTTCAAGGCGTTATTTCAGCATTCAACGCAATCTGGCTTTTCTCAAGAAACCAAACGGTTCGCAACTTTTCCCAGCCATCTCATGTGCTGTGTTATACTCACATTATCCTGACAATGGAAACGGTAAAGTTTCTCTTAAATGTAACCGTTACTTTGTTCTATAATTATTTTGCCCCAATGGTATCGTTTTCGTGTGGGTATTCCTCATGTTTCGTGCACAATAGGATTAAACATAAGTTTGTGATTGGGTGCAAGATCAAAGACGAACATATTCGTGCACGAAACATGGGGATAAAATCTTTATGTGCGCCTGGCATGATAAAACAAACAAACAAACATGAAAACAAAGAAATTGGAGAAAAACTGCAATAAACAGTAAAGTCCATTGTCGGAATATTCCGTTGTCTTTCTCCATGCCATCCAGTCATTCATTGTTTCTATATATTTGGACATAATACAAAGCAAGCATATGTCAAAAGAAATTCCATATAATTTGAGAACTTGTTATTATCAAAATATGTGCACACCTAGATAATTTTGAAATTATTTTCCAGGTTGGTATTGGATTGATCCAAATCAAGGTTCGCATGAGGATGCTGAAGAAGTATACTGTGATTTCGAACATAATGCAACATGTTTAGAACCTGTTCAAAATAAGGTGTGTATAAAGACAAGTTTATGCAGCGGTGATAAAATATTTGAACCACATTTTGTCTTATTCACGGATGCGACTTAAGGCTAATTTCCACTCAGGATAATTATCCGTGGATTGGAACGGACAAGAAAATGTTTCTTTGTCTTGTGAGCTCTGGGTCGGAACTAATGACTTTAACACAAAGAAAAATTTTCTTGTCCGTTCCAATCCACAGATAATTTCCCTGAGTGGAAATTAGCCTTTACTGCTTTAGCATCATCAATTTTCCATCTCTCTATATCTATACAGAGCCACGGCAAAATTGGACCCCCAGAATTGAAACTTGTTGTACAGTTTGGTCACCAGTTATAACTTTTTGAATATTTAGCTTTTTGTATCCAGTTGACTTGAAAATGTTCCCCTGCCGCTAATTCCAGTCAAATAAACGCGAAAAACGAAATTTTCAGAGCTTTACTATATTTTCCCCAAATACCAATATAAAAACAAGTCGGATCGTCGAATAGGAAACATTCTTACGTATACATTGTTTCTTTGATATGTTTTCCAACTTGATAAAGCCTTAAAGGAAACATACCCAATTCAATTAATACTTCTGTTTAGTTTGGTTCATTACAACGGTTCAGCGGTCCATTATTTTCGCGTAATGGACCAGCAGTCCAAAAAACAAACGCATGCATCTTAAAGTGCATATGACATGAAATTTTTTATTTTCTTAAATGAAAGAACTCTTTAAGTTGTAGTGTAACTTATTTTTCAGTTTCTTGTTTTTATGGTTTATTCCCGAGATATTTCAATTTGTCTGATATGTAAATGAGTGTGAATATGTCCGCTAATTTATGACGTCACATTGATTGCAAGCTCAACTTAAACTGGTTATAAATGTATTAACTCTAAAAACTTTTGATATCAGTTCCCGTTTTTCTCCAGTGTTTCATCACATTTACCAGTAAGTGAAGTTTGAAATTATCATCTTGGATAATAGCAGTGATATTCAAGCATTTTAAAGAGCTTGCAACCAACATGACGTCATAAATTAGCGGACATATCCACACTCATTTACATATCAAGCAAATTGAAATATCTCGGGAACAAACCATAAAAACAAGAAACTGAAAAATAAGTTACACTACAACTTAAAGAGTTCTTTCATTTAAGAACATAAGAAATTTCATGTCATATGCACTTTAAAACAAAACAGCAAAACTAATTGAAAATTATAATTTAATTTGTTATTAATTAATAAGATATCTGCGCATGGTTTTTAGTGGAAAAGAAGGAATGCATTGGACCACGCTACTAATATGCATGTCAAATCATGCATTTCTTATTTGTTTCAAGTATAAATGCCTATATAAATGCCATATAATAAACTTTTTACTGACCTCGCTTGCTCAGTATGTACAGAGAAATATCGGATAGGTCTTTTTGTACAAACCTCGCCTTATGGGTTCGGTCTGTACAAAATACCTCGATCCGATATTTCTCTGTACAGACCTCGTGTTCGGTTAATAAGAAGTTATTTCAAATGTGCCAGTATACGTAGGGGATGAGATCTGTCCCAAATCCTTTTATCAGTTTTATAAATAATCGATCCACCTTTTTTCCTTACGGTACCAGACAGAAAACAAGAAATGGTTTAGTGGGTCAGATGGATACAGATGGCTTACAGAAGAACTGGATGGTTTACAAAGTGTTGACCAGGTAGCGGACTAAACATGCATAAACAGTCAATTTTATGTTCCATCGCCAATTTTCAAAAAGGCCCTGGGAACGAGGTTGTGTTGATAGAACCTCAACAACGTAACAAACCTTTCTTATAACCACCCTTCTTCTCTACCTTTACTTCTGTCGCAAAATAATCCTAGCTTCATAAGGAAGCCATGACTTGAATATAGTTTCCAAGTGTTCATTCATTTTTCTGTTTCTCAAGGTTCACAATTAGAATTGTGTTCAAATATTGTTTAATTTATAGTGTTGCAGAAGAGGGTTTATCAAAAATATTGTAATTTTGAAGTCCACTTTGTCGCTGCTGAATACATGGCGGACACCACTCTAAGATGGACACGTATAACCCTAGCCAAATCCACCCTTTCAACGTTGTGTTTGGTACTACTCTATTTGCACCCTGCCCCACCCCGTTCCCACCTTTTCAAAATATAAAAAGCTGCTCCCTTTCTGGAATAAAAGTGCCCTCTTTTTCTGGATTGAAAGTGTAATACTGGGCAAAACCCATGCACTTATGTAAATTTATTTCCTCAGAATGGTGTTTCAGAGACTTAGAAATCCAAGCATTCCCCGGGGAAACTTGTCCCCGAATCTACTAATTTGCGCACACCCATAAGCATTTGGCTATAATTGTAGTTTGAGTTGTTCTTTCCGATTGTCTTTTCCAGTTCAACTACACGTTTGACGATGGCCAGCTTCAAATGCTACAGCTTCATAGTTCCAAAGCATGGCAAAGTATTACATATCATTGTTTGAATTCTGTTCCATGGGGTAACTTCACTCAGAATGCTATCAAGTTGCAAGGAGATGATGACCTTGAATTCCATAATAAAATGCCTCGCAAACTACGACCTGTTGTCATTGAAGATAATTGTCAGGTAGGCCGATGTTGTTATATAGCTTTGTTTATTAAGCTATAATCATGGCAAAAATTCCGTGTGCACTTAGGTGTAAACTAAAGTATTAGCCAAGAACAAATCGAAGGTAGGCCAATGGGGTTGGAACTAAACAGTAAAGTCTATACAAGGGGTCAGATGTCAATTGGAACGCAAGTCCTGTTCCTTTCCCCAGTCACACCTATGTCGTTTTTGCATGCATGTAAGTTGTCTGTTTGTGTGATTATAGTACTCCACATTACTGGTCACATACACATGTTGGCGCCTTTGTCTTCCCCGCTCCCCCCTAAATGTTGGTTTTGACATGCATTTCACAAAGCTTTAACCTAACCAATTTATAAGCTGTCAACATTGAACCGGGGGGGAGTTAAAAATTGCTGCTTTTGCACGTATGTATTGGGAAAGGCAGGTATTTCTATTTCCGCACGCGCTGTCCACAATACTTTTTGCCAGGATTGTAGTTGTTTGTGCGGCTAGTAAGTTGGTAAGTACCACAAGCGGACAACGGGAATGAAGAGACGGGGAAAACCCCTCTATCAAAAAACACTTATGCATACGAACTATCCATGGGTTGCAGTGGTGGCGCATGGCCATACTTCTTCTCTAAAAGGTGTGAACTCTCCCTGTCAAATGAGTCCGGATCCGCATAATCCTGGCTACCCCCTGAGCGCTTAGGAAACGTTCTACTAATGGCGTTAGGTGGAAAAGTTACTGTTATCACAGCAGGAATTTTGAATAGTTTAATTCTACGTTTTGAAGGATTTGTAAGAAATGTTTGAGGGAACTGACTTAGTGTTTAAACTGCATACACAGTAGCAATTTTGCATAGGTAAACGTAGTCTGTGCATTTACCTATGCAAAATTGCTACTGTGATCACAGAAACGTTGATAGTATAAACCAGCCTTTAGCCAACACTCATCTATATTACCCAATATTTTCATGAACGTGTATAGCTGACAAGTTGGTCTACATCTACATGTATAGTTATTGTTAATTTGCTGCCTTGGCGATTTAACCGATGAAACAACTTGTAGAGCAACGAGTATATTGTGTATATAGGTGGGTTTCACTAAAAAATTATACAACAGGGAAACGTTTGGTGGTCAACTTTACACATATAGCCGCTTTATGCCTTGTGGAAGCAAGTAAATCTCGTTAAATTACATATATTTGAACCAAACACAAGATCAATACTTATAACGAATATTTAACTCGATTCGATAAATGTGTTTCCATTTGGAGTTGACCACCAAGCGGTAAACCTATCACGTGACTGAAACCCAGCTATTGTCAAAACCATTACACAACTTGTTTCGTGTCCAAAATGTCGGTATGCACATACAAATACGCTAATTTGATAAAATAGTGATAAGTATGTTTTATTTTAGACAAAAAATGATACGTGGGGAAAAACAATACTTGAAGTTCAAGCGAAAGATCCTGCTAACCTGCCAATTCGAGATATCGCAGTTTATGACGTTGGTGATGATGGCGAGGAATTCGGATTAGAACTGGGACGAGTTTGTTTCGCGGCATAACTGGAAATGCCTTAGAAAACATGAGAATTTAGATAAAACACCTTTTTCGTTGACTGAGTTAAGTCATGGATATGTGTATAATGAAGAGTAATATAAGAATAAAGTTTCGACTTTATTAAGCAGAATTGTTGTGTAACTGTATTATTTAGCTGTTAATTAACAAAAGTTCATTAAATTGTCAAAGAAATAATAGAAATATTTGAATTTAAAAAGGCGAGAACATTCTGTTCGATGTATGTAAAAAGTAAGATGTCGTGAAAACGAATAAATTATAAAACGTCTGTTTTGCTAACAACTCTTGATGTCTGCATGAATATGCTCCTTCGAAAGTATATCATTAGTTACAGTTATCAAGTTCGTTCCGATTATGCTCAAGTTCTGTTGACATAATTTTTTAAGCCATACATAATTGAATAGAAATCCGATCTTTGGGCCCAAAAATAGCTCATTATATATTCAATCCGCATGGCGGGCGATGAACACCGCGGTCAAACGCATACGGAAATTGCGGGGAAATGTCGGCTAATATCAGGGCGGCGCTAAAGGCGGGGGGGGGGGGGACACGCTCCCAGTCATCGGGTAATCAGCAAAGATTGAATCCCAGTCGTAGGGTAGGAAGAAAAAATTAAAATATTTGAGTGACACCGATTAAAAATTAAGAATGACAGCTAAAATGTGGAGGAATTTACGAAAACATTAGGGAAAAGTGGAACAACAACGGTGGTTAAACACAAAATAAGATGACAATTTTGTTGTCCGGGAAATGGTTTTTTTATGTGGAGTTTCAGGACGAGAACATTAGCCCTATTCACATTAGAGACGGACAAGTCGTCTAGACGAAAAAATAGTCTCAAAAATCGTCTTCACAGACGGACAAGTAGTCGAACAAATTCAGACGACTTGTTCGTCTAAAATTTTGTCCGACACGTTTTCACATCTGATGATTTGTCCGACTAAAAGACGATTTTGAGACGATTTGTTCGTCTAGACGACTTGTCCGTCTTCTAATGTGAAAACGACTAATGTCTTCCTTCTGACAAGAAATAGTTATAGTGAGTTTACACAATTGACATTTTCTTTACATATTTTGCTAGAGCTTCAATACGATTTTCGACTAAAAGCAGTCACGTTTGACCACACAACATAAATATATATATATATATATATATATATATATATATATATATATATATATATATATATATATATATATATATATATATATATATATATATATATATATATATATATATATATATATATATGTATATATGCATATATATGCCTATATATATATATATATATATATATATATATATATATATATATATATATATATATATATATATATATATATATATATATATATATATATATATAT